ACTGAGGAGAGCCAAAAACTGGTACTCCAGATACTTTTCTGTTGCAGATCGCCTCGGGAAAGCTTCATAAAGCCAAAAGAAAACAAACGGCTCACGACGGTCTCAACCAGGCCCGAGACGGCCCCGATATCCACCCAAAACGGCCCCCGGGAGGGCCCCAAGACGGTTCGATCGAGCCTCTTCAGGGGAGCTCGGTAAAAATGTCGCACCCAAGCCAAACTCACCAAAGAGGGTGCCCACATAGCACTCAAGAGGGTCCCAAAAGGGTCCCACGAGGCCCAATCAGGCCCTTTAGAAGCCTTCGAAATGATGTCGAAAGGGAAGGGACGAGAGGGAGGAGGAGAAGGGGCAAGGAGAAGAAAGATAACAAGGCTGTGGGCAAGGAGGGGCGTTTAGACCCACGCCAAGACAGAACACTGAATCGGACCGAGTCATAAACTCGACATCCGTTCCGCTGCGATGCTGCGCTTGCACGGTGGCTGGATTTGCCTCAGGCAAATGAATATCACGCCAATCACCTGGAACTTCTGCTGGTCTGCCAAATGGTTCACGCACCGCCGGACACCCTCCCAATGAAATTCAGTCTTTCCGGAGGAGTTCCGCCTGGACTTCGGAAACTTACCCCCGTATGTCATACCTACATTGACAAAGTTCACGACAACGCGCAACAAGTCGTATTGCCTGCCTTCGTTGTCGACGCCAGAGCAAGGTGGCGCCCCCGAGCGCTGCTGGCGCGGCGGGGCGTCCGCTTGCCCAGCCTTGGGCGCGCGCGGGTTGGCAAGACGATCTCCGAGCCAAGTGCGCGGGCTACAGCCCGAGGCGGGTGCCGCCTCAGGAGAGGCAGGTACTAATGGCAGCGCCGGTGGCCGCGGCGGCGCCGAAGGGCCTGAGGCGGTTGCTGCCCCGGGCGGCAACGTCGGCGGCGGTGGCGGCGGCGGCGGCGGCGGCGGCGCCAAAATGTCCAAGGCAAGTGCCGTCTCAGGAGGCGCTGTTGGCGGCGGTGGTGGCGGCGGCGGCGCCGAAGCGCCCGAGGCGGGCTTCGCCTCTGGAGACGCCGTTGTCGTCGGCGGCTGCGAGGGTGGCAGTCGGGCGGAAGGACGCACTGGGCTCACGTGAGCCGTCGCCAATTCCTGTAGCATCGGATTCCAAGTGGGGGCGGCTGAGCGCTGCCGCACCGCGGTAAAAGCCAGGGCGAGAAAGGAAGCGCGCTTCAGCTTCGCCTGGTTAGTGCCGATCCCGACGGCGCAGAGGTTCTTGCACGGCCCCCGTAAGACCGTGGCCAAAGTGAAGAGGCGCCATGCATCTCCTGCCGCGCTGTCGATAGCACGAAGGCCACTGAGGAGCTCCTCGGGACAGCCGTCCGCGTGATCCAACTGCCATTCCTTCAGATCCACGTCGCCCTGCGCTTGCAGGACTGCTGCCTCCTCTGCCAACTGCCACCAATGCTGGAAGAGACGGCCCTTGTGATCGTCGCAGACCACGGCGAAGAGCGTGCGGCCAGAGTCAGGGAGCTCATGGATAACGATGTCTGCCATGGCGTGCTGGTAGGCAGCGCGAGCTGGAGAAGAGCCCAGATCTTCAGCCCAAACAAATGGGTACCATTCGTGCGCTTGCTTGACCCATAACAACGTAGAGCACCTGTCAACCAGATGTCGCATTGATCTGTCGAATTACATCCGCGTGGGTTGCATAACTGTACATGAGCCTATGTATACCTATAGACGTAATGTGTATACATATATGTATATACAAACATCGCCCCATCATGGAAAAGCAGTGTCGTGACACGCACCAGTCACTCTGCAACTGGACACTCAGCCCGAACCCCCATTCAAACCTGAAGCTTGCGCTCATAGTGTGAACCCTCGCGTGCACTATAAGGCGATCCAGCATCGAAAGGGTTAATGCAATCGACTACCTTGCTCGTCCAGACAATATCTCCGACATCCCCCACATAAAGTAATGTGTGATATGTGTGAGAGGGAGCTCAAGACATGTTCCTCCGTATTAGCACCGATTCGTCTCTACAAATGTCCCTATTAGCGCCTATTGGCGCCCCTTGGCGCCTGTTGATCATTAGCGCCTACTAGCGCCTATTGGCGACCGAGCACAAACAGTAGTAGGCGCGAACGGCCGGGGAAGACAGCAAATCATGACTAAAATTACTCTCACACAAACACACACCTAATGAATGACACCTGGACGCTAAAGCCACATGCTGGGCGATTCAGGTGTGCATGGCCACAACTCCCCGCATGTCAAGACCACGAGGGTATGTATCGGAACGCATGCACACAGGTGCTGACATGCAAACACATGTGTTTATGCATGCGTGCTTCAACATAGCAATGTGCACAATGCCTCACCGCGCAAATGACACTGGGTGCCGATGGTAACACTTCTCTTCAGCGGGACGCGCACCAGCGGATGCAGTTCGGAATCAAACGAGGCGATTACACTGACACCTATGTGCAAATACCAATGCATTCGTATTCTCAGGGCCCCGAAGAAGGTACCATGAATACCTTCTCCGGTTGCTACTACCTGTTGCTGCGAACACACGTTTGGGCAACTTACGTTGCGAGTATACAATGATACTGGCAACGCACTCCGCGAAACCTACACTACAACATGGCAGATGTTCCCACATCGTGCCCTATGTGCTCCAACACGACAGCCGGAATATGACCCAGAAACTCATCACCTAAGAAATCTGGGCCAGCTCTCTGAAAGTTTATTAAGACAAGCCTGGGCCAAGTTTTCGTGTCAATGCTTGAAAGGTAAGGAGCTCAAGAAACTGGGCCAGCTGTTCGGCAAGTTGGCTAAGAAACGCTGGCCCAACGTTCAAGGGAGAGGTTTGTTAATCAGATGCTCGACCGTAGGGTCGCGGTCCTACCAGTATCCATGCGAAAGCGAATATTTTGAATCCCGACCTAGGGTCGGCGTGACGTTTGCGGAAACTCCACTTGCTTGTCACATGGTCTGACAGCGCTGACCTGACACACGCATTGGCATGTGGCAGACACCTTCTTCAAGGACCCTAGAATTCATGCGAGGAGATCTCTTGAATACTTCGTTTCAGCCCTAACGCTAGTCACACGGGTTCTGTCAACTTCGTCGGCGAAACTGCTAAGAACTGGCGTCCGCTGTGACATGTTGCACTCCCTACACCGCCATATTCCTGATAAGTGGCGCTCCCGTACGCCCCATCGTAAGAAGAGAAACAGGTGCCTCTCGAATGGCTTATGCAGCCATGTGGACGATAATGCGGACGCAAGCACTGAAGTCTCTGGTACACGGCCATTGCTGCACTGTTCCGCCAGGCTAGAACGACGTTCCTCTGAGCGATCGTATATTGCTGGCCCTTACGAACTTCGCTCGATTGGGCGTCGCTCTTCGTTGTTTCACCTTCTTCACCTCTGCGTCAAATTATTATGATCATGGGCCGGCTGTTATCGAGGTCTCGGTTGTTCCTGCCACGCCCGCCAGAATCAGGGACAACGAACGAACGAACGACCACCAGTGCCGACAGCAGCCTGGACCTGCTTGAGACCAGGTGAGCGGGGCAGTGGCATCTACATAGGATGGTGTATGGTAAGGCATGCATGCGAGGACATGGTGCATGGTGCATGGCGCGTGGTGTGTGGTTGTCGGTGTACGGAGTATGGTGCATGGACATATATACGATGGTGTATGGTGTATGGTGTATGGTGTATGGTGGAGACCTGCCCCTTCTCCCTCTTCGTCCAGTGATACTGATGCTAGTGCTAATGCTATTCGAATTCAGCCTTCCGCTGCTACTGGACCTGGTCACCGGACAATCAGCGGGGAATCGGGTGTGTCCTCGGTGACGAACGCTCGAGGGCTGAGGCTGGCCGACGCCTTCCCGCCCCCCGCCTCCGTTACTCTCCCCCAGTCTCCTCTTCTCCTCACCTGGCATCATCATCGCCCCCCCCTCTCCTCATCATCATGCCGATATTGATTATACTTGTGTTTGCCCTTCCCAAACAAACCCACCCCGTCCTCCACTCCATACAACAACCTTCCAACCCTCCGCCATTCTACATACTGTTTTTTCCTGCTCCACATCCTCCCCATCGCTCACACACCCCTTCGTATACTCTTCGACCATATTTGTTCTCTTTCCAGTCAATGGCCACTTGTATGGTTACTCATGTGCCAACGGCACAACGTCGGGTTTCTGGTGCGGCTGGGCGTCGCGCTCGTTGTCTGCTCGTGAAAAAAATGCTTTCGGCGTCTCTGTGGGTTCCTCAGCTGGACTTTCTACTCTCTACCGTCTGCGGAGGGCCTCTTTCCCCTGAACTGCATGGCGGCCTCTGCGCGGCTCACGTAACAGAGCACCTTTCTGCGCGTGAAGCTCGCACTTTAAACTCTCCTCGTCCTCACCGTCCTCATCGTTCTCTTCCTCATCCCAAGCATCACCTCTCCTTTCCTCTTAGCCCCACTCCTTCTCCTCCTCCTTCCCGTCCCTCCTCCCCGTGCCGCCCCCTCCTTCTCATCCTCTCCCTTCCTCGCTGCTACTTCCTCCTCCTCCTCCTCCTCCTCCTCCTCCTCCTCCTCCTCCTCATCATCATCATCATCATCATCATCATCATCATCATCATCATCAGCATCAGCATCATCATCATCATCATCATCATCATCATCATCATCCGCATCATCCGCATCATCATTATCAGCATCATCATCATCATCATCATCATCATCATCATCATCATCATCATCATCATCATCATCATCATCATCATCCCCCTCCTCCTCCTTAAACAATATGAATACTACTCTCCTCTCTCCCCTGGTGGCGTCGGGGCAATGTTCGGCCGCCCTCCTCGTACTGGTTTTTACACACAGGTTTCCCGGCAGGTTTCCCGGGAAACTGGTTTTCGCTTGGGCTTGTTTCCAAAATGCTGCTCTCGCTGAAGCGCTGGCCTCATTTTCCGGCTACCACTCGTTCTAAATCGTGCTTCCACTGCAGCGCTGGCTTCATGTCCGCGCTTCCGCTCGTTCCGAATCGTGCTCCCGCTGTATCGCTGGCGTCATTATTTTCAGTTCCATGCCACGGCATGGTTTTCGGTCCTTCCAAATAGGCCCCAACATCTACAACATGCTCCTCCGAAACAACCACCCGAAGTGATTAGACATTCGGTGTCGATTCGTTGATTTTCGGTGCCGCAGAAGCCTCCCACTTTGGGACGTCGCCACGCCATGCTATGCCAGGCTACGCGTCCTCATTTCAGCGCTGACGCGCTTGGGTTTGTTGTTAACTATTGCTCTCGCTGAAGCGCTGGCCTCATTTTCCGGCTACCACTCGTTCCAAATCGTGTCCCCGCTGCAGCGCTGGCCTCACTACCGCGCATCCGCTCGTTCCGAATCGTGCTCCTGCTGCAGCGCTGGCGTCGTTATTTCCAGCGCCATGTCACGGCATGGTTTTCTTTCCTTCCCAATGGCCCCAAATGTTTGAGTATGTCTCCCCGAAAAAATCTGCAGTGATTACACATTCGGTGCCGATCCGTTGACTTTTGGGGCCGCAGGGGCTCCACACTCCACCGTGGGATGCCGCAACGCCATGCTATGTGTACGCATTATCATTCCCGAGCTTCCGCGCTTGGATTTTCGTTCCCAACCATCCTGTGGTGTTGGATCCCCGTTTGGAAAAGACAGCGCCCCACGTCCCACCTCTCCTCCTCCACCTCCTCCTGCCTCCTCCCCCGCACCGCACCCACTTCGGCACACCCCTCACGCGGTTCGTGGCCCCACAGGGAGCTCCACCGAAGGCCCCAATGGCGCAAGCCGCATGCGGGGACCGCCACCCACTTTGGCACACCACTCACACGGTTCGTGGCCCCACAGGGAGCTCCACCGGAGGCCCCAGTGGCACAGGCCGCATGCAGGGACCGCCACCCATTTTGGCACACCCCTCACGCGGTTCGTGGCCCCACACGGGGCTCCACCGAAGGCCACGGTGGCACAGGCCGCATGCGGGGACCGCACCCATTTTGGCACACACCTCACACGGCCCGTGGCCCCACAGGGAGCTCCACCGAAGGCCCCAGTGGCGCAGGCCGCATGCTGGGATCGCCACCAGTTTTGGCGCACCACTCACACGGTTCGTGGCCCCACAGGGAGCTCCACCGGAGGCCCCAGTGGCACGGGCCGCATGCGGGGACCGCCACCCATTTTGGTACACCCCTCACGCGGTTCGTGGCCCCACACGGAGCTTCACCGAAGGCCACGGTGGCACAGGCCGCATGCGGGGCCCGCACCCATTTTGGCGCACCCCTCACACGGTTCGTAGCCCCACAGGGAGCTCCACCGAAGACCCCAGTGGCACAGGCCGCACGCTGGGATCGCCACCAGTTTGGGCGCCCCTCACACGGTTCGTGGCCCCACAGGGAGCTCTACCGAAGGCCCCAGTGGCACAGACCGCATGCGGGGACCGCCACCCATTTTGGCACACCCCTCACACGGTTCGTGGCCCCACAGTGAGCTCCACTGAAGGCCCCAGCGGCGCAGGCCGCATGCGGGGACTGCTACCCATTTTGGCACACCCGTTACGCGGTTCGTGGCCCCATGGGGAGCTCCACCGAAAGCGGCACCCACGATGTGGTACTCGCAGCTGCATATGGTTGGGCCCTTC